AGAGCTATTTCAGGACACTCGATTTCTTCCAGGTCATCAGAGTCATCTCAGCTGGACTGACTGCAGGAGATCTCCGGCACACAGGTACACAGGCTCTGCTCATGTGCTTCTGCTGCTGCTCTCGCTCTCTGCAAGGCTGTAAATGTGCACAAAATATGAGTACGCCTGCACTAAAACTCTCTTTTCTCTGTCTTTCCATAAACCACGCTAAATGCGGATGGATCATGACCGTATTCTCTTCTGGACATCTGTTCATCCTCCGGTGAGTGGCAAGTTTTGTTCTGACACACACTAGCAGTCTAGAGTTCAGACACACTGAGTTTATGTTTCTCATTGTCGTAAAACCTTCTGATCTGTGGGCTTCTTCCTAAATGCTTGAAATTAATTCTGTAGACAAATGCAATTGCGATTTTCTTTACAAAACTAACATTTCAGTGGTGAAGGAGAAGCATCATGAAGCGCTCATGAAGCTGGTAGATGCACAAAGTTTTCATTTGAGTCATTGTTCCCAGACGTCCATCTGTGAGTCCAAGCTCTGGACTGCTGCTGTATGCAGTCACTGAGATGTACGCCAAGTGCTGATGTTATTGCTGTAAATATCAGAATGTAAAGTTGCATTGGTTTTCTTCTTGTGCAATATAAAATGTGTGTTTGAACAGGTTAAAGTCCGTAAGAACTGGAAGTTGCAGTTGCCTTTCCATATGAAATGTAATATTGAATAGAGGGCAGAGCTTGATGTTTTTATTAACTTGCATGGATGAATTGTTCACCACAAGACTAGTGATGTGCACTAACAGAGTAAATCTGGTTAATTTAGATTTTATGCTGACTTTCAATAAGATTCAGCACACAGCGATGTTAGATAACCTTTTTTTTTTTCATTAGTTGTTTTGGTTTGTGTAGTTTTGGAGGTTAACACACAGCACTGGTGCATTATGGGGTCTGTTTGTGGTCAGTGGTCATGTTCAGGTAATGTTTCTCATCTTTAACTCCTGGCATGATAGTCTTACAGATCCTGACCTTGACCTTCACTTCACTAAAGACTACAGCAAAGCGCTTTAGCTAAGAAAATCCTCAGTTTATAAAATATGATGGTTAATTTGAAGATGCTTTCAGCTGTCGGTACACAGATTTCTTCAAATCTTTCACCAAAACCACTGCAGAAATGGCAAAAATAGCCTGCGGATTCCAAAAGGACATACTAACGGCCTTACGAAAATGCCAAAATGCCATAGTTATTAGCAGATGCCAAAACACACAGGGCCAGGAAGGAGACTTTTATGAGTGAGCCCCGTTTGCCAGGACCTCGAGAGTAAGTTGGACTAAAGAGAAGCCTAATGAAAGTTCTCCTAATGATAACCCCGATCAGTACAGTCAGGGTTATGGACCTGGGATTCTCAGAAGTGGATGTCGTCATAGTTGGTAAACTACTGTAGTGATGAATGCAAACTACAACGATATAACACATACATTTGTTTGCGTTCTCATTTGCACCAATAGCAAAAGAAAAATCCATGATAGCATTTCAATGACTTTCCAAAAGAGGAAAATTACTATAGAAAGACTGATTACGTTAGTCAGAAGAGAGACAGATGTCAAATTTACTGTCACTTCCTCAGCCGTTGTTTCACTCATACAGCAGTGTTAACTAGTTTTCTGTAATTTAATGCCAAGGTAAGAAAACACAAAGTATAGGGTTATGAATGGACATTCATTTTTTTAATGAAAATCTAAAAAAACTTAAATTTACATTGTTAATAACTGTAGAAACGCATCCTCACAGTCTGTGAAAATCCCCATTACTAGAAATATGCATGCTATTTAACATGGTATTTACACCATCGGCATTAAAGGAATTAAACAGAATGACAGAATGGTTTTTACTCAGTTTGGACGAGATCCCATGTCAAGTCAAGTCAAGTCAAGTTTATTTTGTAAAGCACTGCAGTTTATCTTTTGGTGCGATGAATGAAGCTGAAGTATTATACGCTGTAGAATCTACATTTGCTATTGTATTTCTGATCGTATCTATTTTATCAGTGAAGAAATTCATAAAGTCATTACTATTAAATACTATTAAATGTTTAATCTATGTTTATTTTACAGTTACAATAACTGCATGGTAAATTCAAAACTTTGTAACAACTGTACAAATACAAAAAAAAAAAAAAGTAACTTCAGTGCTCAAGTGAATAACTTGAAATTTGTTAGGCTGTTTTCTTTTTACCTAGCTGTCTTCTCGTGTGGCTTTGAACATATCCACTAGTGCGCGCTGTTTCTCTTAAAGTCACCAGTCTTCGCCGTGGTTCCTTTTGTCCGCAGTTCTGTAGTCAACATCCTTATTATAAAGTACTCTCAGAGCCCTCCAATAGAAGACGAGAATTTCGGACAGACAGCGAGTCCCACCAATGACATCCCGAGTTCGATTTCCGCCAGCCAATCACTGACGCGGAGGCGGGCTCCGGCGCGCGTGTAGAGGGGAGGGCTCGCATGTTTCACTACGTTGGCTCTTCTCCCAGAAAGGTTTCGGTGTGGGAATTTAAATTTTACATTTCTGAGGCTGTCGGAGGCTCTTTAACCGGAGACCACATCCTCAAAGTTTCGCCGAGCGCGTCTAGACTGGAAAAGGTACGGCGATTTTGGCTGTTTTTAATCCTATCAGCAGTGTTTGTGTGTATATTTCCTGTAGGTGACTCCGCAGGGAGCTGACTGAGGAGAACTTTATCATGAGCCGTTAGTCTGATGTCACGTCTTTCAAAAGATAACGCCGATAGGTGCGATATTAATACTGGATTATGCTTCTTTCTGGCGGGCAATGTTTGGGATGGTCACTCTGTGCAGCTGTGTCTCGAATGAATCGTGTAACGATGATTTACAGCCTGTCGTGGGTTGTTCGCATCGCTGTGGTGTTTGGAAATGTCGTTGACCCACCGAACCCGATGTGTGTAACGTTACAGTCCTCTGGCGCTGTGTGATGTAAATGTGTGACATATGGACAGTTCTCTGTATCCCATACGGCGTCTTTACGTAACGATATAATCTCCAGCCGTGATGTTTACACCGATCAGTGCTGTCTGTCTGCTTTAACAGCACTTTACCCGCCTGAACTCTTCACTGATTCTCTCATCTGGATGTGACGCTGCGTAACATCAGCGCATTTTCAAGCGACTGGAGACCGTTAAAATCATCTTAACGTGTTTTTGTTTGCCGTTAAAATTCAGTGGCACGTGGCTGGCGTGAGCTCACAGCCCTGTGTGTGTGTGTGGTCAGCTTTACACGCCCCAGAACATCGCTGCGTGCCGTCCTTTGACGGGGTTTGGTCTGCTGTCGTGTTTAACGCATAGAGGAAAACGCAATAATGGCGCTGCGACCGTTTCTCTGACGCCAGAGCTTCAGTCCAGATGTGCCCGTTTTACATCACACACTGCGAGCGACGCGACGAAAACGTCGCTTTATTCGCGTCGCACGCACGCTTCACCGAAAAAAAAAAAAAAAACACGCCTCAAAGCCTATTGTTGTTTTTTTTTCCTGTTACTCTAAAAATGTAGTTGCTGCAAGCTTGTTAGTAATAATTTTGTCATCATAGTATTGGAGATATTTTAAAATTCGCAAAAATGCTGGAACGTGCCAAAAATGTCTGAATTGCGTTTCCGGTTATTTTATTCTGATGGCTTCATACTCTGTTTAAAGCTATAGTAGTTAAAAACAATAAGGATAGTAACTGTAGAATTTTGGCAGACACTATGGACAACTTGGCTTTTTTTATTTTTATTTTTTTATTTTTTTGAAGGCCAGTCATAATTTCTTAGTTAGTTGACACTTTACCAAAGTGCTTGAACGGATAGTTCACCCAGAATTGAAAATTCTGTCATATTTCCTCACCCTCATGTTGTTTCAAACCTATGCATTTATTTCTGCTGAACACACAAGAAGACATTTTGATGAATGTTAGGAACCAAACAACAACTTGTCCACACTGACTTCTAAAACATATTTTTTCCCCATATTTTGGAAGTCAATGGCTACCGTCAACTGTTTGGTTACTCAGATTCTTCAAAATATCTTTTTATGTTTAACAGAAGAAAGAAACAACATGAGGGTGTCAATGTATTTTTGGGTGAGCTATCCCTTTTAAGGCCAGTGATTTTGTCAGCCGAACCCTTTTGATCTAAAATATTTCCTTAAAGTCCCACTGAGATCTTAAGTTCTCTGTTGTTGATTATCGGTAAAATGACATGCAGGTAAACAAGTAAAATATTTTTCAGTACGTGTTTATTTTTTATTTTATTATTAAAATTAATGTTAATACATTAAATTATTTTAATATAACATTTTTGTGACCGATCTAGCTTGATTTTGTGCACCAAATCATAATGCAGTGCAAGTTTGTGTTTCTGGATGCAGCACGGGATTTTAAGGGAGAATCCAGTGCAATGTCAAACAGAAACTGCATAGCACACAAAGTGATACAACAGATACTCTTATCATACCGTACACACAGTACTATATGAAACACAGTGCTGTCTTCTCAAAGTACATTTGATGGTGTGATGCAGAGTGAGCACAGACTGTTTTTTCCTGTGTGAACCACACTGTTGTTGTAATGCTTCTTTCTAGTACTGTCTAATGCATGTGCGGCTCTGTATCGTGTTGTGAAGTAGGTTTATCAACATGCGTGTGATGAAGTAGCAAATATTTGCATTTGTAAGTGTCAGTGTGGATCATGTGATGTGTGTACGTGCTAATATTTGACAAGAGTCAGCCACTAAAAGAGTCAGTGCAGTGGTAGGACTTCAGGGCTTGTTTTGACAATGTGAAACAATACGTCATGTGAAACGTGGCGCCCCTCCCTGCTGCGGCCGCTTAATGCCGTCGCCAGAGCTGCAGGGATTAGCGTGTGCTCGAGTGTCAGGTTTTTGGTGGAGTATGGATCTCTATTGGGTGAGCTGTGAAGGTCTCTGAGTCCACCGGTGTAGCTTTATCCCCAGACCATCTGTCAGATCCGTGCAGCGTCCCGATCAGTGCACAACACAAACAGACATCTTGTTTGCTGATCGTCTTTACTTGTGTGTCACAAGTGCAGCATGTGCCATGATTTAAAGGGGTCATATGATGCTTTTTTTAAAGATCATTACAGGGATCTTATCTATTCACAATCAGCTTGTAACACTCCAAAGAGAAAGGAAAACTTGAAATCGCATCATATGACCCCTTTAAGTGTGAAAATCATTGCCACTGTTTTTGTTTGTTAGCTTGTGTTTTGTAAGGGTCTTGTTTGACCCTTGTGTGGTAGTTCACTGCATTGGGAAGTTGCTGCATGCTAGTAAATTTTGCTTTTGGTTTAATAGCAATCACAACCACAGTGCTAGGCTATATAATTGAAGTTAATTTAATTTGATCTGCTTCAGGTTGTTGTTACCATTGCTTTGTGTTTTATACATTTTCTTTTGCTCGATAACCATCTGTGACAGATATGCTGCTTTGTTTGGGTCTCCCACATGTCACCCTGCAACACAAACCTATAGTTTCATCAGCGCATCACTAAAGCTGTTTTCATCCAAGCTGCAAATTTATGTAAAACATTTAGCATTTCTGTCCCATGAGTTTATTTCTTGATGGGAACAGATTTGGAGAAATGTATCATTCCATCACTTGCTCACCAGAGGAATGGGAGCTGTCAGAAATGGTGAAATGCTGTTGAAGTGACTGTTTTAAACTTGCTATTGACTCCATAATCCATAATAACGCTTCCTCCAGTGAAAAAGTGCATCTCCTGTTGTCTCTCACATCAAAATCCAGCCACATACTTGTTTGCTTGATCTGTGCAGATTTCTCTCCTGATTCAGACCAGAGCACTTTTTCACCGGAGGAAGAGTTATTATGGATTATGGAGTCAATAGCAAGTTTAAAACAGTCACTTCAACAGCATTTCACCATTTCTGACAGCTCCCATTCCTCTGGTAAGCACATCTTAATGCTGGATTTGTTTCAGCTTTTGTCTTCTCCAGGTGTTAACTGATGGACTGGAGTGCTGTGGATTACTTGTGGATTATTGTGATGTTTTTATCAGCTGTTTGGACTCTCATTCTGACGGCACCCATTCACTGCAGAGCATCCATTGCTGAGACACTGATGCACTGCTACATTTCTCCAAACCTGATGAAGAAACAAGCTCATCTACATCTGGGATGAACTGAGAGTGTGGACATTTTCAGCAGATTTAAATTTTTGTGTAAACTATTCCTTTAAGATACAGATGTTTTCGGGAGTTGGCTTGAAATGGTCAGGTGACCGCAGCGAGGCATGGTTAGCAGTCAGTAGTTGGAGTTGTGGGTGTTTGTTGGCCGTGTGCTCTGGGTCTCTGGGGTGAGCTTCAGCAG